TGGGCTATAATATTTGCAGAAGCAGGTTCTCACATCTTTCTCCCATGAAGCTGGTAGATTTCAACCAATGAACTCTCAGGTAACAGTGTAGCCCTAACCACTGTACCCACCAGAACTAGTTATATAAAGATAATTAAGAGATTCATGTTCACCAGTGTCGAGGGTCAAGATAAGAGGAGTCTCAGTCTAGAATGAGAATCAGGTGACCTGCTTATTCAAGTCAGGGCTTGAAGACATCTTAAGAAGATGCACAGACAGACTGAATCACAACAGCTGAAATCTAATAGACATACAGGGAAGAGTCACTTCAGTTAAAACGCACTTTTGAAAGCCCAAGCCCAGGATGTCTTGGCTTAACACATGCAAATGTGAAGAAGGCTTTGAAGGTTTATGCGAGAGTAAGTTCAAGTGATGTGGCAGAAAGAGAAACAAAGGGCACATGCGATCTCTGGTTAGTGTGTTAATTCACAGTCATCGTCCTCTGCAGGGCCAGGTCACACACCTCCTATAATACGGACAAGGAGAGTCTAGAGGCAGTTCAGAGGGAAGTTCAGGGGAGACTGAGATCGATCCTTAAGAGGCACTGTTGAGGGGCTATCTCACTTGGCTCAGAGAATGAGGGCTTGGGGCTGAAGAGGTTGTGCAAGACAACAGCCTTATGGCTCTGAAGCCTCTTCCAGAAATCGGACCAGCGCTTTCTCTGCTTGGCTCCTCAAAGTGGAGAAAAGGCCCAGGAAAGGTCAATGGGGGTCAGAGCAAGAGAGGTTCTCCCAAATGAAGGGTCCCCAGTCTTTGCAGACTTCTCACATGGAGAGATTAAGGAGGCCATTCCCAGTGAGCCGGTTTATGCACTGGCCACAGAACACTTAAGGCAGCTCCCCACGAGGGTCTTCCAGTACCACAGTCACAGGGCAGCCGTAAATGCGCTCATTTAAGGCGCAAGAAGCTAAGGACACATATCCAGAGGGCTTTTCCCTTTATTTATTCCTCTTTCCCCAGTGGGGAAAAATAAGTGGAATATCTGGGCCCTATGGGCAGTGCGCACACACGTGAGGCATGTGTGTGTGTGTGTGTGTGTGTGTGTGTGTGATTATTTTGTAAATATATGACTGTAGAGTTCGCAATCAGGTGACTGCTTCAGGGAATGGGAGCGAGAGCCAACATGTACTTAAGCTCCTCATTTCCTGGCAGTTTCAGGGAAAGCTATCGTGGTGCTCACCGCACAGTTGGGAAATGCATGCTCACACATTATTCTGTTGGGAAGGCCATGTCCCAACTGCTCTCCTTTTTCAACAAACAATTAAAACAAAAACCCTGGCTGCTGTGCGGTTGATTCTGACTCGGAGTGACCCCGCGGGACACAGGAGAAGGCCTTCTCAGGGTTTCTGAAGCTGTGAATCTTCGTGGGAGCAGCTGGCCACATCTTGCATCTAGGGAGCAGCTAGTGGTTTGAACAGCCCACCTTTCAGTAGGCAGCCTCATGGTTTAACTTCTGAGATAGTACAACGTCGAGCAACCACAGAGCAGTTCCATGAAAAAGGCAATGGGGCCCCAGTGAGCACTGACTGTCATTTTATCCATTCTCTGGACGTCCCCTGTGTTGAAAGATAGTGAGCACAAATTAATGGTCTTCAGCCCTCTCTTTGGAGTCCCTGGGTTAAGCACTGGGCTATTAGATGAATGGCTCAGTCCACTCAAAGGCACCTCCGAAGAGAGGTCTGGAGATCTATCTCTGGAAGAATATCATAGTCACTGGAAATCCTACGGGAGGGGGCAGTTCTAGCTTGAAACACATGGGTTCTCCATGAATTGAAATCAGTTGCACAGAAAATTAAAAAAAAAATCCTCCTCACTTCTTAAAACACTCAATCTGTTTCATTTACTTGGACCAAGAAGTGCTTGCTTAGGATAATGTTTCAATTAAATGTTATACTTTCTCTGGTTATAGTGATTACACTTATAAATATTTTGTGTCACCCCCCCCCCTCTGCCCCGCCATCAGTACTTAGAAAACTGCTCAACTCAGTAACATGCTGAATTGAACTTATTAAATATAGAACACGAAATGGAGACTTGTTATACATTTCTTTTCCCTGAACATTCCGGCTCAGGTCTGCCTTGAAGCGCTTCCATTGTCTAGCAACAGATAATGGACAGGTCCAATTTTATTATTTAATAAAGGGGGTATATATTGACAAAGGATGTTTTAAAACTCCAAGTCAAAAGCTACTTGGCCTTCCTAGATACTCTTTAAAATTGGGAAAAAGTCAAATCTTCTTGCTATACCTTTTAAAGGATTTCTAGGTTATAAGTAATATAGCAATCCTAAAAAAAGACTCCCTTGCCCCCGCGTGTAAGGTGGACTATAGCACATATACAAGTTTAGAAGTGAAGAATAGGAGAATCCAGGGTCCATAGCAGCCAAGAGATCTGAATTCTCGCCAAGGAGCATATGCACTCCTGAATAATTAACAATTTTAATGCATAGCTATAATGTGCACTGGCACTTCCCACCTTACACAAATGGGTTACGCTTCCTCTTTGCTTCCCCTCCCATTTTAGAATGGGTCTCTCTATGTGCTAAGGCATTTTAAACGAAAAAGTGAGAGGCAGAAATAGCTTTGTAATATTGATAATATCAAGAAGAATAAAAATATTTAAGATAGACTTTGAATGGTAGTAATTAAATCAAATGTTTGTGAAAAGGAATTTATAGATAGTTTGTATGCTTTTAAAAAAAGATTTATAAAACATTCAAGCACGTTAGTGGCTAATGGAATCATTTATACTAATTACTACAATTTAACATGCAAGCTTAGAAATATTTTCTTCAGATTGGTGATTTACGACTTTGAGTGGCACGAAGCTGGGAGAAAGAGAAGGGATGTAAAAGCAGAAGGGACAAGAATGTGCAGTTTCTGGTGGTAGTGGTGGGGGGCTGGGGAGAAGGCGGGAACAAAACTAGAGAAGGCAAAGGGGCTCAACAGAGATAGGCATTTAATTTTCAAGAAAGAAAATCAAAAGTAGTGAGAAAGACAACATCTCATTACCGCAAGGTGGTGATCCCTAAAACAATTTGGTTGCTATTTTGGGTGGTGAAGTCATTAAGGCCAGCGAACCACTTGTTGTAGTTAAATTTGAATATTCTGAGGGAGAAGGGTGGGTGAGGGGATGGAAATTAATATGCTCATGTTGAAGATATTTGTATTAATATCCTGAGAGAGAGTACCAAAATGTTTATCATCAACTCAAAAAAGCTCCAAGTCTCATATATCTTTTTATGTAGCTTTTTTTTTTACATACTAGAGTTATCAAAAGATATAATTTATGAGATGCTTGAACCTCAACCTTCCTCAGATGTAATTTATACATGACTTATAATGTATATTTTATTCTAAAGTGCAGTAATTTTGATTTAATAATTTTCATCTGCTGGAAAAGTGGTCAGTCTAGTTTGTGAGCAAATTGAGATTTATATTACTAGATCCTGAGAAGATGCAAAATAATTTTTGATAACCACATGCCAGAAACCTGTCCTTAACTGTGAACAATCCCTTTTAAGTTAGAGCCTAGATTAGTAATTGTGTCAGTAGAAACAAATATAATCTGCTTTGTTACCATCAGATATAACAGAAATTAATAATAGATGATCTGAAAATCAGTTTTAAGGGGACTACTACCTTGTAATTATCTAGTTATCTTTGAATGGAAAAAAAAACACCCAGTCATTATTTAGAGTATTCCTTCTATTAACACATATGTTTATCAGCTCTAAATGCCTAAAAGAGAAACATGAATTAACGTCTGTTGCTGGCTTAACAGCATGTGGCAGAGAAGACTGCACAGGTACTAGGCTTTAACTGTAGTCTGCTCATGCAATAAGGCCTTGTAGAGTAACAGCCTTGAGTGTCTCCTCTCAGTTCTGAAATTAATACTCCAGAGCAGCAGAAGCAGAAGCGGTCTCTTTCATGAACACCCCCCCACCCTCCACCTCCAAAATGATAAAAATTACCTCGAGATCATGTTGGGTTGTTTGACGGTGACAAAAGTATGACCATTTTATGACCATGCTCCAAGAAAAGGAGGTAATCAAAACATTAATAACAAGACTGTTAAAAATATTTTTAAAATATTATTTTCCTCATCCCAACCGATTTCTATAAAAAAATTCATTCATTCTATGCCAACTCTTACTATCACCACCCCTGCAAAATGTAGGTTCTATAGCACATCACTGAAAGTCTCCGATTTTACTTGTGCATTATAGTGTATAAATGACATCCTTGAGACCAGAGGATGTACACTGGTACAGATAGGAACTAGAAACACAGGGAACCCAGGGCGGATGATCCCTTTAGGACCAGTGGTGTGAGTGGCGATACTGGGAGGGTAGAGGGAGAGTGGGTTGGAGGGAACCGATTATAAGGAACTATAGGTGACCTACTCCCTGGGGGACGGACAACCGAAAAGTGGGTGAAGGGAGATGTCAGATAGGGCAGGATATGACAAAATAATAATTTATAAATTATCAAGGGCTCATGAGGGAGGGGGGAGTGGGGAGGAAGGGGGAAAATGAGGACCTAATGCTGGGGGCTTAAGTGGAGAGGAAATGTTTTGAGAATGATGAGGGCAATGAATGTACAAATGTGCTTGACACAATTGATGTATGTATGGATTGTGCTAATAAACAATTGAAAAAAAATTGAAAAACTAGAAATGTTTGTTATATTAAATGTAAAATAATATTTAAGTAGTAATATTATTAAAAGTTAAAATATTTCAATTATTTAAGAATAAACTAACAAAAATAATTTTATTCAAAAAAAATTACATCCTCGATGGGAGATAATCAATGAGCAAAATGGTAACTATTTCGTTTATCTCCTTTTTCAAGTGTGAAGGAAGGTGTGGATGGAAAAAACATGCATTCACATTCATACTATGGCAACTAAGCACACATGGATATATTTTTGTTTTCTGGATGCAAAGCATATACTTACGAGAGAAAGATTTGGGAATTATTGCATGAAAGTCCCTAAAGCCATCAGCCCCATATGTAACTGCAATAAAGAAGGCAAAAAGAAAGCGGGATTGTGATATCATTAGAAATATATAGTACGAATTTAAAAGATAGCATTATCCTTTTTAAATTAGTGCTTCAAAATTGTTATTGGCGACGCTTATGCTATTGCTGTTCTGCTATGGCTGTTGCCACCATATGGGCAACAGAAAAGCGGTCACAATGATTACATACTCAGAAATGGGATCCAACTGCCGCCGATCTGAGCTCATGGCATTGTCTCATTCACAGTGTCTTTGAACACTTTCTGACGTGCTAACTGTCTTAGAGAGTAATAACATAAAACAGTCTAGAAATGTGAAAAACCATTCAGAAGAACTGATCCAGACAATGTCAGGGGACTTGACATCACAGCAGAGTACCTCTTGAGAGCGCACACATTACACAGAGCAGTATTTTTTAAAATTAATTGCAGTTGATTAAAAAGAACTCACTGCCATGGAGTCAACGATGACCTTATAGGTCAAAACCTAACTGCCTTACAGGGTTGACAAGGTTATGCATCTTTGGACGCAGACTGCCACATCTTTCTCCCACAGAGCAGCTGGTGGTTTCAAACCCTCTGACCTCTGCCTACCAGGGAAGTGTTTCAAATACTGTACCATCAGGGCTCCTTATGATGACATAGAAGTTGTCTTCCGAAGAAGCAGGTTCTTCATTCACCTTGTTTCAAGATTAGAAGATTTATTTTCCCTCATTCCAAAAGAGCTACCATTTTGTTTTGTTTTTTTAATCATTTTATTAGGGGCTCATACAACTCTTATCACAATCCATACACACATCAATCGTGTAAAGCGCATTTGTGCATTCATTGCCCGAGAGCTACCATTTTGTATCGGTAATACTCCTTAGCATCTACTGTCATAAATGCTATCGTTGCCTGAAATCTTCACAGACCTGTTCTGTTTCATAGGTCAGTGTTTCCCAGAGTGTTCCTTTTGCTTAGATAGTAACATGCGGCACACACAAGCATTTTCTTCTCAAGAAACTGTGTGAGAACACATTTTCATTTCTACTAACCATCACAGTTAAGTTCATAAGTTAACTTTTCAATTGAACTTGTTGCATGGATGAATGAATTAGCAGAGGAAAGGTGTCCTGCTTGTTTGACCATAAATTCCTTTTATTTCCCATGGAAAACAGTAAAATATTGGGATATTGGCCAAATATATTTTGAGTGGCACTTTCAAAGCTGTTACTTAGTTCAATTACTAGCAAACCTTTTTTCCTCCTTTACTAATTTTACTCCCTAAGAGATCAAATCTAATAGGAAAAGCAAATATGTTCCTGTTTTCTAAATTTCATGGAGTATATTTTTCTAATCAAGATACAAATTTAGTTTTATGTGAATAGGAATTTTGTTCCCCAAATCATCACTAGCATATTTTAAGATAGTGTTAGCTATTATAGTGAAGCATGTTTCATTTTCAGAGTCTGAATCCTACTCAGATACACAAATTGTTGGGCATTTTGGAAAAATGCTCACAAACTACATTTATTGATTTTCATTCAGTTGTCAATTTGATTATAAACTTCTTATATCTCTTGTGTTTTTACATAGAAACTAAACCTTATTTAAGATTTTTAACACAAGAGAGAGGTTTTCCTTTTAAGTTAAAGATGGGCATGAACACATTTATAAATACCGCGCTGTTTGCACTGTTCTTCATAAAATTATCTCAGAACTAACCGTAATGAGCACACGAAGGTTGTCTCCTCCGCTGAGTGGGGCTCAGTGTCTAGAGAAGAGGCCCACCTGGTTTTCCTTCTCAATTCTTCTCTGTCCTTTCCCAGGGAGCAGTGCTCGCCACACTTGGATGGGATACACACCCTCCCAAGCCACTTCGCTCTGGTTTGTGAGGCTGACCCAGCAAGTTGGCCTCGTTCTTGGTTATTACAGCCTTTGCTCTCTCGCTTCCACACTCTTTGGGCTATAGGCTCAGTTCTGAAACACAGGTCTCTCGACCAAATCTGTGAGGCCAAGAGGCCTCGTATCTAAGTGAGACTTTGCTAGACTTCCATTTATATCATGCCTTGTGGTATGAGTGCTTGAATTAACTTCATAACTTTGCTCTCGGAAGATAACCACACTATTAGAACACTTTCAGAATTTTTGTAAATGTCTGTTGCTAGTGAGGTTCCAAGAAACCTGGTACATTTATAGCAGGTTATAAATGGGGAATACCATTCTTGCCATTTATTGCATTTTACATAAACTGTGTTGCATTTTACATAAACTGAGCACATGTGGACTGGTTTTCTGTCCAAATGGGTTCTCTGCTTCTCTTGGCCTGTGTTATGTTACATACTAGTAATTCCCAACGGTTGCACTCATAAGTCAGCGGGCAACAACAGTGACCATTTACTTAGGAGACAAGAAAGAGGCAACTCTTGGATAATGGTCTTGATATGGTCTTTAGGCCAGAGGACAGCATCTGATGTTTGGCCCTATCACTTGCCATTTGTGTGAATGTGGTCAGGTGCAAATACTCTGGGTTTCAGTTTCCTGATCTATCAAATGGGCATAGTCATATCTACTTGGTAAAGTTTGCATACAATATTCACAATAATGCTTATAAGGCCCTTGGTATTTAGCAGGTCAACCGTAGCTATTTTTTCTGATGAGAAAGTCACAGGAAAAGAAGACACCTATACTCCTGCCAACTAAGGCTCCAATGTCTACGAGTGCTAAAAAGTCATGCAACTAACAGTAACCACATTTTCCAAGTGAGGAAAATGATAGAGATTGTATCTCCCAGCACTGGTGAATGCCTATTCACATCAGGGTGGTACCAGTGGAATGGATGGGAACCACAACTCAGTAGTCATCGGAGTGTCACCTGTGTGGACCAGAAAGCCAGAGTATTTTACCAACTTCTTTGGCAAGTGCTTTAAGTGATGTCATTTCGCACTTCTTAGATATGGTTTCTCCTGACACCATAGTCTTACTGAAGCAACAGGTAGAACTCTCCTGGCAGTTAGGCAAAATAAACAGTTTCAAACAGAAGGAATTATTTTTCCTCTTTCTGAAATGTCGGTCCTATATTTACATTTACCACATTCATGAGGCTTATTGATGTGTGAGGATATATAGCTCATGATTTTAAATGAGAGGACAGATAGGAAGAAATGGGTGGGGAATATAAATCAGATTCTGTTGTCTTCATCTCCAAAGGCATCAGATAAAGAGGATACCAGAAAGTGAGTGCTGCCACTCTGTTGCAGCCGCGGCAGCCACTCTCAGGTCATTCCCTCTCATCTCCCACACTGGAGCTCTGTCTAAGCCCCAACGATTCCTGAAGCACAGTTCCTCCCGACTTCAGGGAGGCCACAGATAAGCTAATCTCCTCCAGGACACACACAGGGTGGGTCCCCTGCTCTCTTGCCCTTCCAGAAGCTCAACGGTCCCTGTCGGAATTCCAAGGAAAAGGTGACTCAGCAAAAGTAAGGAGGGAAACCAGTAGCTCAGTTACTGTAGGGACACTGAGCTCTGGGCACTTCAGTCCATAGATGCTGGGCTAATTATTACATCTCATATCTTCCCAACAGGACACTGGTTTTTAAGGGCAGGGGCATTTTAGGCCTTAACTGTGCCTCTACTAATGTTCACACACACGTGACGATAAAGCCTTTGTTTGTGACTTTTCTCCCTGTGACCTCCCCGGCAAACGCAGTTTTTAGGCCCCAGCTTGGCAAACCCTATGGTTATAAAGAGCCCATGGCATATCTGTTCTGCTTTTAAAACAATGGTTTTATTGACATATACTTCACACATATCATACCATTTAATTATTCAATCATATTGAGATGATTTGTGCAATTACCACAATTTCAGAACATTTTCTTCTCATAGCCATTACTATTAGCTTCCCATGTCCCCCATCCTCCTCTGCCATGCCTCCAGGCAATTATCCATCCAGCTACTGTCTAGAGATCTACCTATCTTGATTTTCATGTACAGAAAATCATCAGAAACACAAACAGGAAACAAACAAACACGCAAACTAACAAAAATGACTAGATAAAACACAGAAAAACCTCAATCAAAAATCAGGAAGTACTAAAAACGGAAATACCTTTAAAATGGGTCAAAAGAGAGGTCAAATGATAAAGAATTACGTTTAAACCTGATGACATTTGCCATAATCAATTTTACATTATTCTCTGATAGCAAGGCTGTTCACATCCCTATACTGTGGTTGGAAGGGAGTCATTAGAGGCTTAATCCAAGTGGGAGACACTTCAGATAGATTTTAAGTTTCCATCATCCATAACCTTCAGCAAACCAGGTGTTCACAATTTAAGCTCTGATGTTATCATTCCCTCTTTCAGATTCAGATTTTACTTATAATCCTTGGGTCACACAGGCTGGTGTGCTTATTCCATGTGAACTTAATTGATGCCTCACTTAGATGGCTGCTTGTTTGAATGCAAGCCTTTGAGACCCCAGACACAATTCTGAGAGCAAGCATGGACTAGAATCATGTCATTAGAACTAACTGTTCTTATATTGGGACTAGAATTAAGTGTGAGCCACAAATATATTCACATGTTGATGGTTTATATATATCTCTGGTTCACTTTAGAAACATCATTATCATTTAATGTGCATATCTGTCCTAGCTAGAGTCAGCAGTCTGCAAAGGAAGACAGGCCTGGGCTTGCAAGTGGTAGTTACAATTGAAGCATGCGGATTAGGGTGAGTGTATCTGGCTTGCGGTACTAGCACACACATATATGTGTACATGTGTATGTTTATGCATGTCATAGCTAGCACACAGAGATGGATCTTTATACAGGTATAGTTACAAAGGCAGCTTAGTAAAATAGACTGCTTAGTGACAGATAGACTGTTACGCACAGTGATTTTTACAAAAGGATAAGTGATGCAGAGGGGTAACCAGAAGGGTCCATAGGCTGAGCTTTGGACTTGTTTCTCCATCATGCTGAGAACACAGGTCAGCATCACACTCAATGGAT